TTTAAATAGAATACACGGTAACAGGTGGCTACAATTTCAAAAGAGATTCAATGCTTTCAGTAATTTGACGCAGAATGCCATTTCGAGACTAATAGCCCTTCTGTAATAACGTTCTTGTGGGCTAAAAAGAAATTCTTGAAAAAGGTAAGTGTTATCGATGTGTCTTATTTTAAAATTTTATTGAAATATTACTCTTGTCTGGAGTTCACGGTGTGCCACCATTTTGAAAACAGCTGTTGCCTTTCTTGCTATGTTGGCAAAAAGTTAGTCACCGATGAGCTTGTGAATTTTTTTTATAAGTCAGGGAAAATAAATAAATATATATATATATATATATGGCTCTACTCTTATATGAGCTCTAAGATCACCAAATGTGGCGATACGTGTTCTGCGCCAGTTTTCGGCACGATTCCGTGCTGTGGGATGGTCTGGTGGACGATGCTATTCATATGGCAACCCTTTTGACATTGAAACTTAGAGACGTGGTGGCAAGATTTCAGTCGCGTATTTTAGATTGTGTGGAAAGTAAATTTAGTATTAAAAGGTACTATGTTGGAGTTGTTAACGAGTCTATTGTTCATGGGTGTGTTTATGAGAATCAAAGTGTATTTTTGGAATTTCTGTGCGAGTTTTAAAACGGAGTCCGAAATGCGAAGCTGCTACGAGAACTCAGACGAAGAAGGGCATTTCTGATAGTTCTTGTGCGGATTCATGGTTAAATGCTTGCTGGTAAAGTATGTGGCTGTCAGCGGAGTTTAAGACTTGGATTGTGGTTTTCATGCAGTAAGTTAACTTTGGAGGAAGTTTTTATCGTTACTTTTGAAATTTTGAATTGCAGTAAGATGTGATATAGCAAAATCGTAGCACTTTTGTTGAGAAACACTGTGTGACTGGCAAAATTTTAATCACGTATGTATTATGATAAGTCTATTTTATTTTATTTTGTAGAATGTTATGTTCATTGTTTTTTTACTATGAATTTCTGTTGTTATTTGAATTGTTTGTAATTTATTTTACTTATTTTAGTTTATTTTGTTTATTTGTGCGCAATGCCTAGATTGTGCAATTCGTAGATTTTTTTAAGTTTAAACAGAATGTTGTGTACATGGTATTCTTTAAAATTTAGTGTTGTTATATTAATTTATTAAAGCGAGGTGTGCGTAGTTCGTAGATTCTTTCTCTGCCTAGATTGTGCAATTCATAGATTTTTTTTAAAGTTAAAACATATTGCTGTGTACATGGATTCTTGTCAAATATTTTTGGTTAGAAACTTTACGTTTTTACTATCTAAATTTTTGTTTTTGTTTTGGATTTTTAGGGTTAATCTTTGGATTACGGTAACTTGCCGATTTTTTGGCGAAACTTTGGCGACCAACCCTGCTACAGCAAACTACTAGTTTTGTTTTGGACGCCATTTTGTTTTCACGAAGTAAAGGCTTTTTTTTTTTAACTCAACATTTAATTACGCTTATACTAGAACTTTTATGGAACAAAAGTGCTTAATCATGATGAAGATTAGGTGCGAAATTGGGAGAAAGTGCAGAATCGCCCACTGCTTGCCGCGTTTTTAAGAATTGCACATGCACGGTATCCATGTACACGTCAACCTATTTTCATTTAAAAAAACATCCTAGAATTGCACAAAAATGGCATTGCGCACACTCTTGACTTTAGCCATGTACACTGCTAAAGTCCTAGCTAGTAACCTTTATCGCCTTACCAAAATGTCGCTGTTACCATATTCCAAAGATTAGCCATTTTTAGCTTAAATTGTGTGTTCAAAACATGGTTTTTGCTTGTGCGAAAACCACATTTTTGGAGACATTTTAGGCTTAAAGTTCGAAATATACACAAACAATTTAGATAGTAATATGGCACCGTGGAGTTTCTCGCCAAGGCACATATAAGAGTAGTTCTATATCTATATATAAATGTAACTACTCTGATATGCGCCCTCAAGTCACCAAATTTCTCGCCAAACGCTGCTATATTACTATCTAAATTTTTTGTCTACATTTCGAACTTTAAGCCTAAAATGTCTGCAAAAACGCGGTTTTCGCACATGCAGAAACCACGTTTTGAGCACACAAGTTAAGCTAAAAATCTGAAACGAAAACAAAAAATTTAGGTAGCAAAAACGTAAAGTTTCTAACCAAAAATATTTGACAAGAATCCATGTACACAGCGATATGTTTTAACTTAAAAAAACATCTACGAATGGCACAACTAGGCAATGAACGAATCTACGAACTACTCACACATCGCTTTAATAAATTAACATAATAAATTTCAAAGAATACCATGTACACAGCGTTCTATTTCAACTTTAAAAAACATCTACGAATTGCACAGTCTAGATGCTACGCACTAATCAACAAAATAAACTAATATAACTAAAATAAATTTCAAACAATTCAAAAAAACAACAATAACAACAGAAATTCATACTAAAAAAACAATGAACATAACATTCTACAGAATAAGAACAAGAATAAAATAAAATGCACTTACCATGAATTAATGCTTTTTCGAACAGCAGAAATACCAACTTCATACCGCCTTTAACATGCCGCCACATAATCACTATTGTATTTATATGACAGTCAGGCATACTAATCAGAAAATCCATACTGTGGTTCACAAATAAATAAAATCACAAATCCCTACTTCTATCATGCACAGCCACTAAAAATAATCCCCCAGACCCTCTTTCCACACCTCCAAATACCCACTGCCCCTCAACAGGATGGCCACGATATTTCCTTTTGCCGAACTTCAATTCAACAACTTCCACCATTTTATCTTTCCCCTCTATCTTCGCGAACCAACGAGCTCCAGCGAAAGATTTTTCAACGTCAACAACATACAACACGCAATCGCACCAAAAACCAGCGCAGTACACATATTGCCACATTTGGTGGAATTAGGGCGTATATCAGAGTTATACCATATAAATTTCAGTACTACTGCATTATTGACCCAACCGGACAAGAATCATCGGGCAAAGTGTTATGACACCCACCAAAGTAAGAAACCCAAAATTTTATGAAAATGTATTTATCTGACAATCCACTAATGGTTGCGCATGAATTAGTCGGTGAGTAATGCTATCTTCTGTCTTGGTGGTGGTAATACAGCACATGGTTTTGAAATTCAATGGTCATGTTTGTTGTGATTAGTGTGTGGAGGTTTTATTCATGTAATGAATCATAATGACGCTGTATTATTTGCTTGTAAATGAAAATGTTGCATTTTTTCAGAAACACTGCACTTTGCCTTGTTATAGTATAAGTCTATTAAATAAATTTACACAGTTCGTCTGATTTTTTTAAAAAGTCAGGTTATTGTATACATGGAGAGTAGTGATGATTAGGTCTGCAATGCCGAAAATTCTGTAATTCTCCAATGTTTTCTTAGATTAATACAGCTCTGCATGTAGACCCAATATCATTCTAAAACACTGACACGAGGTTACCTAATTCAATGGATATAGGAGTCCATCTATATAATTATAACAATTTCCTTTCCTATGTCTATCTACAAACATGCATTTCTTCCAAACTAAATTATTAAATTATTCATTCATTTATTCTGCAATGCATATTCTGACACAGAGGAGGGAATCTTATGAACATGTCATCCCAAAAGACACAGCCATATTAAGACCATTTGATGTCCTAAGCAAAAGATTATGCCAACGGCTAATACAAATTATAGCAACAAAACAAGTTTTGACAATTTTCTTTTCGCATTTCCTCAAAAAGAGTAAATTTAACAGTTTTACATTGAGCTTCATTACTGCGATAACACAATAATATTGTAGAATGCTTTTGCAGAGTGAAACGAAAGCAAATAAAAATTTAATACTTTTTTCAGGTATAATGACGTTTTCTTGCATAATCTGGCATAAAATTCTTTCATTGATTGGCCATCCTGACACAAATTAATGAATATTTCTTCCCCATCACCGCTTGCACATATTACAATTATATTTTAATGTCTCCCTGATTTTTCATTAAATGAAGGAATGAAAATACAGTAGACTTCTAAGCATACATAGTTGCATCTCATTCTTAGAGCTTTAGACCGCTACGTTAGATGAGATGTTAATTGAGCTAATCTTTACTTTACGGTACCCCTTGGTTTTTGTCTGAAAAAAATCGTCAAGTGGTATTGGTTGTTCGTGAAATCTAGAAGCCTACTGCGTGAAATTGGTTTTTTGGTAACTCTGATGTTAATAATGTTGGCTAAACTAGCCTTAAGGGAAAATTTTAGTTTTCGTCATTAAAAAGGTCATGTTTCTGCGAATATTGCCAATGTGTTGTGATAAATTTACATTTTGGCTATTTTTTGTAATAGTAACCCTTTCGTATGGACTCGTGTTTTGGTTTCTTACCATTCTTTTCAATTGCTGCACTTGGTTGCACGTACATGGTATGGTCTTGTATTTTGAACTTGCTATTATTTTGCTGTGGGTACCATCATTTGAGTATGTCTGAGGTGACTAAGAGGATGAATGTTGATGGGTTGGATTATGATGAAATTGTGAATTTGAGGTTTTTGTATGGATTGGATGATGGATGAAAGACATACGATTCTTGCATGAAAGCTGGTTTAATTGCCGATAGATATGAATGAGCCAAGCCAATGTCAGCCGAAGTCACGTTAAACCGAAGTCAGCCAAGTTCAATAGTTATTGAACATCCATTTTGCATGTCTATGATGTAAAAACAAAACAAGCAACAAAAAAAAAAAAAAAAAAATCTCTTGTAAACACAACATAATTCTTAATTATATAACAGAATCATGACTTTGGGGTAAAATCTATTAAAAGATAATTTATGAAATAAATGTCATGTTTGGTTTATTACACAATAAATACATGAAAGCAATAAATGAGGAACTTGCGACATTTGCAACGTATATATGGTTAGAAATGAGCCACAATACTTAAGAATCTGCTAAAAACATACAATACGATAAACCTGTATTTAGCTTACGTGTAACGGTTCCTCTAAAACACCAGAGCAGATAGGGCATATGAGTTCTTCATCGACTTCTCCTTGGAAGCGTATTGTATCATACCCCATAGTACTGCCTATAAATCATAAAAACGCACATTTTAAATTAAATCTGCTGAATACTTGTAGGCATTTTATCAAGAAAATGATGAAATATTACAGTATTACGACCGGTACCATTAGAAACCATATTTAAACTTAACTATAAAGATCATGAGAGATAGTAAACTTAATCACAAACGCAATTCTTACCTTATATATACAAACTAATACTCAAAAGGAGGATGTCAATTCCCAATTTAAAAGAATTTGAACTGATACCTTTTTAAAAATGTGTTTCACTTTTCACTACATTTGACACTGCAACAAACTACATCCTACTTAAGTGTTGCCAATTCACAAACTGCTATTTTCCCAAATAGAAATAGCTTGAAACGAAAGTGCGTTCTCGTTCTCTATTGGCTCCAACAAGGAGGTTACACCTCCTTGGGCTTCGACGACTCTCTTAAATGTGACGAAAACTTCTGTAATGCTCAAAGCGCTCAGATCACGAACACTATAGCACATTCGTTTCTAGTCTTGTTGTTTTTATTTACATCAACATTGTGAAATTTCTTGTTCTATTCTTCTAATTACTAAAAAAGTGCATAAAAGGAAATCCAATCACTGTAGTCCGGCTACGGGCTGTAGCATGAAAGAAAAAACTAATTTCTTGTCAACAGACGTTAAATTTTCGCCGAAGGTAATGTGGAAAGCAGTGGTGTAGTAAGGAGGGGGGAAGGGGGTGTATGATGCTCAGGGCGCGGCTCGCAGAAGGGCGTCAAATGGCCTCCAAACAAGATTTTCATCATATCATTGTGTTTTTTTGGGGGGAGAGGGGGGTGCCAAAAAGGCATTTCGCCCCGGGCACCAGTTATGCTCTCTACTCCACTGGTGGAAAGCTGTCGTTCATAGACAAAGCTGACCTGCGAACAATAAATTTACTTTCTGCTGTAATCATTTTATCATAGGTAGATAAGTATTTTTGGCATGCACACACAGATCGTATTTTATTCTCGAGTGTCAAGATGTAGAAACATTTTTTTACTCGACTTCTGATAAAGAACGGGAGGGGGAGAGAGAGAGAGAAGGGTGAAAGGAGTGTGGGAGGCGGATGAAAGAGAGTGAGGTCCGCACTAGCGGCGGCGAAAAAAGGCGGGTGTCAAGTTCAGTGTCGTTATAAGATGAAGCCGCGCGTGGTAAAACCGCAGAGTCAGTTTTGCGTGAATGAGCAGTGGCGTAGCGACGGGGGGGGGGGGCAAGGGGGTGCATGATGCCCCGGGCGCTGCTCCTAGAGGGGCGCCAAATGGTTTTTAAACAATACTTTCCGGAAAATTTCAGTTTTTATTTTGATCGATTTCTGGAAAATATATTTAAAATTAATAACTATTGTAATATAATTAATTATTTATTTTCTTGATTTGTCTGATAAGATGTGTAATAAAATGTTTGCAGTACATCAACCAAAACGTTCTTTCTGACCATTTTATTTCTCCAAAGTAGAGATATATTTTTTTTTTAACGAAATGCACGTATATCTCCCGCTTTTTATTTTAAAACGATAACACGACCTTGTCCCGAATTTCTCAAACATATCCAGTTTCCATAATCTGGAAATGACATTTTGTGAAAATCCTAACGCTTCCGCTACAATGGATTGCTTTTGACTCTCCTGTAAACGACTGATGGCCTTCCAGTCTACCGATTCAACTAAGTCATCTTGCTAAAACATCGGACTGACTGCTACAAACAGTCAACTCTTTTTCAATTGTTGCCCACCAGCGGCCGAGCGGTAAAGTCGCTGAACACTGGTAATTCGGTCCGAGGTTCGAATCCCGCGAACGGGCTGGCTGGATGGGTGTTTTCGTGGTTTTCCCCACTGTGTAACGTGTATACGAACCAGTTTCCCTTAGAAAGTCCTCCACGAAGGCATCCCTCCTCTTAGGCAGATAGCCCTAGTGTGCTTTGCCATAATTAAATACACCACCACACAACTTTTCAATTGTTTTTAATCTCCTACTACAAAAGGAATGCTGCAGGTCGCTTGTCACTCCTTATCTTAACACACAGTTGTTGACGTCACAGACTAAATTTGTCTATTCCCAACTTTGTAAACATTATAATTTTCCTTTATAATCCGATTCCATAATCTATTTCCTTTTGTTCAAAAAGATTGTCGATTATATGGTTATTTCATACCGAACCCACAACATCCCCTAATTGTTTTGAGCAGTGAATGTGACTGCATGACGTTACTCCGCAGTAGAAAAGAAACGGAACCTAAAACTCCACTACAGATCTATAGAGAAAATGTTTTTCCAAACCTAACAGTCGCACTTCAAATACTACTTACTATTTCATTATCAAATGCTAGCTACGAACGTTCGTTCAGCTAATTAAAATACATTTTCACATATTTATAATCAACAATGTTGTGATCCCCTAAGCCATCTAGCATTTTTAAGTGTGGAAGGAAAAAAATTTGAAAGGATCGACTTTGATGAAGTAATGATAAATTTGCTTTTCAAGACTTTGATGAAGTAAATGACAAATTGGTGGAAGATATGCTTTTCAAGAGGGTTTGTAGTTCTGAATCCAGGTGTTGTTCATCCGCAAGGGCAGCAAAGTTTATTCGCGAAGGAACGGCTAGTTGTTCAATACGAGACAAGGTGTCTGCAACAATATTCTGCGAACCCTCAATATAACGGATATCTTTTGAAAATTGCCCTATGAAGTCTAGGTGTCTCATTTGACGAGGAGAAGCTTTATCCTAACGCTGTTGAAAAGTATAGGTTAAGGGTTTGTGATCTGTTACGATCATGAAAACGCGTTCCTCTAGTATATGTCGAAAATATTTGACAGTTTCATAAACTCCTAACAATTCGCGATCGTGAGTGCTGTATCTGGTTTGTGCTGGTGAGAGTTTTTTTAGAAAAATGTGAAAGTAGTCTCCATAATTCTTGATCTTTCTGTTGTAAAAACTGCTGCTATAGCTGTTGTCAATGTGGAGAGACATTAGGTTATTTTTTGGGAAGCAGAGGATATGAAAAATATGCAACGCCTTCGCCGGGAATCGAACCGCGGACCTGTGGAGTACCGGCCCAGCGTGCAGAACCACTACGCCACGAAGGCAGGCTAGGAAAGAGGGAAAAATACCTTATAAACGTAGAGTGATAATAGTTTAGATGCGGAAGGATAGTGCAAAATTTGTTGCCGAAATTAAATCATTTTTGCATTTTTGGAACACTTCGCGGGATTCTGTGGTCCAGGTTATGTAACACGTTTATCGTTTTTCTTGCTTCAAACCAAAAAAGAATTTAGAGGAGCTTGTATGGTCACTGCATAAGGTAAGAAACGTTGATAAAAATTAAGCATAGCAAGATTCTTAAGTCCTTCACTGGAGATGGTACGGGTATATGCGGTGACTCTGTCTGGAAGCGGTCGAACACCATCAGCGGAAGTTTCATGACCAAGAAAGGATACTCTCGGTTGGCCAAAAACGCATTTAGAAGGATTAAGACCGACACCGTACCTTTGAAAACGTTCAAAAACTGTTCTCAAATGTGGTAGGTGTTCTTGCTCTGAAGAGGAGGCGATTAAGACGTCATCAAAATAAGGTACACAAAAGTCGAGGCCGATTAACATCTGATTCATGAAGCGTTGGAACGTCTGAGCAGCATTGCATAAGCCGAAAATCATGACCCGAAACTCAAATGGTCCAAAAGTCGTAATAACCGCAGTTTTTGGAATATCAGCTGGGTTAACGGGCAATTGGTGATACGCCCGCTCAAGATCAAGGGTGGTAAAAATAGCTCTTCCCTCTGAAACTTGCATACAGTCTTGAATGTGAGGGACTGGGTAACGATCAGGAATTGTAGCTGCATTTAACCGACGATAATGGCCACACGGGCGTCAGTTACCATTTCGTTTCCGAATTAGATAGAAGCGGATAAGCCCATGAACTTTTTGAAGGACGGCAAATTTCCTGTTCCATTCATGTATTGAAATTCCTCTTTGGCGGCTTTAAGCTTGCACGGAGGTAAGCGTCTTGGTTTAGCTGCAATTGGAAGTCCGGTAGTTTCAATATAATGTACATCGTGCTTGGGTTCGGAAAATACCCATAACTGGGCGCGTGTTTGTAGGGAATTCTCTGAGGAGTTGATGCCATGGGGAGTTACCCGAAATCAGTTTAATGCTCAAATCTTGACTATTGCGAATTACTCCCTGATAAATTAAGTTGGTTGTGGAATCTATCAAACGGCGATTCTTAAGATCGACAAGCAGAAAATTTTTGAAAAAAGTCAGCTCCACTAATAGGACTTGAAACAGTAGCAATAATGAATGGCCATTGGATGTTGCGGCGCAATTCTAAATCAACAGATATCAGGCGTTCATCAAAAGTTTGAATAGGAGTTCCATTTGCTACATAAAGTTGTAAGTTGGTAAGGCGCTTTTGTTCGTGAAAATGTGGTGGAATGACAGAAACATCAGCCCCGGTGTCTACAAGAAACCTCAAGCCCTAATTCTTTTCGATGACGAAAAGGCGTGCAAAATTCCGGCCGCTGTCGTTCACAACTTCGAGCAACGGCCCTTCTCGTTTCCCTGGTCGTTATAACGACACGGTGGGCTTTGTTTGCCTTGTTTCCAAATTTGTGGTGGTAAAAACAAATACCCGGGTTATGAATAGCCGGCTTTCATAACGTTTCCTCAGTGGGCTACGACGTGTATTTCTCACGTGATGTGGAGCGGTTGCGCTGAAAAGTTCAGCTTGATGGCTAACTAACTGAGCAACCTGTTTGGACAAATCATCAATTTGAGTCTGTAACGCCACAATAGCAGGAGCCTGCACTGCGTTTATTTGCGCTGAAATGGGTCAGCTCGTGAATTTATCAGCGGTTTTCGGGAAGATTTTTAAGTGGCTTCGTACTGACCGCTAAATGGTTTGCATGTTAGATGGGAGTCTATTCATCCATATTGTTTTGAGAATGTTATCCGTTAGGTTACCGGCGGCTAGACATTTTACATTTTAGACAGCGATTGAGAAGGCCTCATATCACCCAACCGTAAATCGTGCAATAACTGCTTGATTCTGTCTCGAATTCTTCATAAACATAAATTAATTTTTTTAAAAGATTTGCATTTGTCCGTCGCCGGTGAATTCAGAATTATTTCACGAGCTGATTGCAGTACCTCTGATTCTAACGCGGCGATCGCTGTATAAAATTGAGTTTCGTCGGCAGTAATGTGACTCAACTGCGCATAAAATTGAATGAACCATAACGATGGGTCTCGGCGACAAAAAGGCGGTGGCTTGCGACTCGCGAAAATTGTAAAGCAGCATCTTTGTCATCCA